CTTAGTAACTTCTTCTATCCAAAACTATTTTTTAGAAGAAAAAAGGGATGACCTATTTCTAAAATGTACAGCTGAAAATATTCCTAAACTGGTTGTCTAAAATCGATTTCCCACTTTTCTACCTCTGATTTCCAGCTCAGAAATACTACAGTGTTCTGAAGCAGGAGGTAAATAATAATCCTGTACTTATGACATCACAAACACATAGCTTTGGCAATGGTTACGAGGAGGTAGGGGTGGGGGACACGGGAGAAGGAAAGCAAGAGCTCCAATGTGATATTTCAACTGAAAGAACATGGGCAAAAGATTGTGTTTATTTTTTAAATGTGGACACTTTTCATTCCTTTTGTTTGTTTTTCTTTTTCAAGTTGACTAAATTTTCAAATAAGTTTCCTTCAGGAGGAAAACATCTGGCAATCTGTGGAGCCTCTGAAGAGCCTCTACAGGTCCCAAGTTCTTGGAGAAACTGAACTTAATCTTCAGCCATGTAACATAATGCTTCCTCCTGATACTGTGAGTGAAAATGCATTCTGGTGCAACATAGACATCATCCACCAATTGCTCTTAGGGTATAAGACAGACAACCTAAGAAACTACATTGGACCCTCACAGATTTTAACAAAAATTGGTTGTCACTAACATACTCAGGAGAGTCTGGTCTTAATTATCCAGAAATGAAGTATCCATTTTACGAATTTCTGGGGTGAAATTTTTAATCCAAGTTTGACTATTCTTTTCTAGTCAGGTAGTACAAGCTTAGAAATGCAATTCCATTTCAACATCAGCAGGATAAACACACATACACATACCAAACTAATTAAAATAAATGTGACTATAGAAAAAACTTTTTTAAGCCCAAGAAATTTCTATACTGAGTTACATAAGTTGCTTATCCCAATGCTCCCTACATCAGCACAGACAATCTGAGTTAAACGCACTTGAAATACGTTGCTATCCTTACCATAAGCAGTTGAGGGCAATCCAGTCATAGTCTTGAGACTTCCCCACAGGTTGGTACACTCTAAGACAGGCACAAGCAGCTTAGCACAGTGAATAAGGCTGCTTGAATTTAAAATCTTATGGCTCCTAGTTGTCTCCTTTCAGGCCAGGATGGTCTAGAAGAGTCACAATGTACTGGTGCCTGCCTGACTCCTTGTTCCAGAGTTCCTGGGATCAGAGGGGCTCAAAACTTCTCATTAAATCCATCCTTTGTTCAAGGACCTAACAATGACTCTATTGACCCTTTTATCAACACTCAACAGAGTCTGGCCTCTAAGTCCTCTCCACCAACCATAACTCTTGCCTGCTCTACCCATGGTTTGACCAATCCACATTCTCTCATCACTCTCATTTATTCCCCCCACAAATGAAACTTAGTCATTCATACCATCACTATACACTGTACAGCCTATACTTTCTGCCTAGAAGATGCTTCTTTTATTCCTAACATTGGAAGAATAGCTAGTACGTTCCTTACACGACTTTCTTTACTTGAATGCTCCTATTTATATACACAAGGAGAGAAAAGTAACTTAAGGTCACACAGAAATAGGCAGAAACAGGATTGAACAAAGATTCATCCAACTCCATAGTCCATGCCCCTATAACTCTACTCCCTAGCCTCTCAAATCCATTTTTAAATGTTAAGTGCCATTGAGTCAGTTCCAACCCATAGTGACCCTGTATAGGGTTTCCAAGGAGTGACTGGTAATCTTGAACCACTGACCTTGCAGTTCAAACTGACCTTGCAGGGCAGGGCCCAGAGCACCTGGGTTAGAAATCTTCCCTAATTTATCTCATTTACTCTTACTTTGTTACTTCCAAGTTTTTTCAGCTCTTTAAACTCCATTTGTAGCACACTAAACTCGATTTTGTTTACATACTGTTTCTTAAATGTTGAAATTTGTAATAGTCTGCCTTCTTATTTGTATCATATACAGGACCTACTCCCAAAGGCAAGGACACCTGTCTTTACATCTTTGATAGTTACTCAAAGCCTGTCACAGGAGCCTGTGCGTTGCTTTGTCCACAGGAGTGTCCAATCATTATTCACAAAGATTTCTCATTAAAAAAAAAAAAAGTGACTCCCTTCTTATATTAAAAATGTAGTAAATTCAGGCATTCAAGGTAAAAATGCCCTACATCTATATTCCAGTTACACAGATTTTTAAACTATTTGAATTTATCACGGAAGATTCCAGTTTATTATTCCACAGCTAGCAGGATTCCATAGGAAAATATTGCTGGGGTCACATTTCAAAGCATTGTTTCAGGATTTTTCCATTAGTAGCATGAATGTTTTGGGTAAGAAGAGGGGGTAATGACCTCTGCCAGCATCCTTAGCATGATTGAGATATTTATTTAGGGGTTCAAAATATTTAACAAGTGGCATTCGGTGCTCTCTAACAGTCTGTAAAGTTATCAGTAATACTGAATTATTTCGTAATAATTCATTTGGTTAATGAAACATATATTGAATCCCAAAAATTTCCATACAAAGCAGTCTGAGAACTTAGAATGTTGTTGTTGTTAAATGCCATCAAGTCAGTTCTGACACATAGCAACCCTGTATAGGGTTTCCAAAGAGCAGCTGGTGAGCTGTAACTGCCGACCTTGAAGTTCAAATGGCTTTGCAGTCTGGTGCATTAACCCACAGCACCACACCAGGACTCCGAGAACTGAGACTAGTGCTGGGCTATTGGCATTTCCCTGAAGTCCTGTGTGGCACTACAGGGTAAGCAATGGACTGCTAAATAAAAGGTTGGTGGTTCAAACCCACAGCTGCTCCCTGGAAACTATACAGGGTCACTATGAGTTGGAACCAACTTGATGGTACTTAACAACAACAAAATCGGGCCCCTCCTATACTTTTTCCTAAATTTATTCAACCTCTTTAAGCCCCATTCCCCAAATATTTGTAGTTCAACTAGGGGATGTTGTTAGATACAGATATAAACAGAATCTACCCAGATACCACTAATAAAATTGGCATCAATCAATTCACACAAATTAAAGCAATTATTGATAGTCAACAACCCCTAGCAGGACTCTGGGAGGGTATGTGTAATTTTAAAAAATTAGATTTGCTCTCCAAATAAAATGCCTTTTCTCCAATAGGGATGTCAAAGGAAAGACATTAAGAAAATAAAGCTTCAGGAAAATTTCCAAGTTATTGGTGACACAACTATATCCAGAATCCAACTAAAAATTAGCATTCATTACTGGTCATCCTGTCTCATACAAGTCAGTGGACAGCCTTCTCTTTGGTAAAGGTTTACATTTTCCCCCAAGGCAGGCTTTGGCATTAACTGAAAAGTGTAAGTCAAATCAGGTTAAAAAAAAAAAAGTAATAATTTGATAATTATCTTCCATCTTTACTTCTTGCTTGAATGTATGTTCAAAATAGATATCTGTTCAATTATAAATTATTCATGTTAATGGATAGCTATTGGCAGAAAGGTGCTGATAATCTAAAATGGAGGGAAAAACAAAAAGTAATCTATTTTTGTTTTGGAATATATGTTTTCAGCATATTTACCTTCTCAATTATTCCTAGGATGAGCTAATATTTGTGTTCATTTGCAATCTCTTAAGTACACAGTAACAGGCCACTGACTCAAGGAGGTGCTCTGAGGCATGCTGGGTAGGGAGTAGAAATTAGAACAGAATGAACACTAGCCTGCAGATGAGCAACATCAATTTCATTTATTTTACAGTTCTGTTCAGCTTTCAAAATATCAATAGAACAGCACAGCAGGCTGGTTACTAAACTTTAAAAACTGTTTGACAAACAATAAGGACAAAGAGTGTAATTAGTTCTTCAAGGTTTGCTTATAATGTATTCAATTGTGAATTATGCACAGCAAATGTTTAACTACAGTCGGAGTCTTCCTAGCCTCCTAGCATAAATCCCCTGCAGTCTTCTGCCCTCCACCCCATCAGGGATGGAATCTCATTTACTAGGAAAGCAACTTTTCTAAGTATTTTTAAAAGTTATATAGTATAGAAATGTTTTTTAAAAGATTCAAGGACTGGCTACCCTTTTGGACTAGTCTTTCTGTACCACCGCTCTACTTTGTCCTTTCCCACCTTTGAAATAGGTTGTTAAGACTGAAAAATAATTCGCTTTTGAGTTTCTTAATAAAGTATCTTATATATGTACTTATAAACAGGTAAGGGAAACAAAACTCAAAGTTCTACTTATTTTAACATTCATGAAAACTTCCTACGAGTTTGAAGAAAACCTCTTACATATTTCATCAGTCAGCTTTTTAGTTTTTGTATCTGTATTGTGCTGAGAGAGAGACAGAGACTGTCTCAGAGCGCTGGTCCCTGTGAGCCGACAAGCTAAAAATACGCCGGACCAGTAAACAAATACCACTCCATCCCGACCCGAGCCACACCGTTAACCTAGTAATTATGAGAAGAGGAGTGAGATCACGCAACCCCCAGCTTACTCATCACCAGCTTCTAAAGTTTCCATCGGCTCATGGCAACTTTTCTTTTTTCTAAAGTTCATAGCCTGCCCTAGAATCACAAACACACACATCGTTTTTGCTCTATTCCTCCACACTGGACTTTGCTTATCAATAGGGGAGAACTAGCTTGTTGCCTTTTCATTTTACTTTAAAAGGAACTTTATCCTACTGTGTAAGTCTTCTAACCAGTAGAAAGTCTTCCACCCTAAAACTCCACCATCCCTCCCAGAAAGTCTAGCAGACTGGGGACCGTCCAAACTGCTCTACACAGCCTGAAGAGGGAGGCCAGGAACGCGGGAGAGTAGCTAGGAACGCAGGTGAAAGGGAGAAATAAAGGGGGGAATGTTGGGAAGAAGCAAGGAGGCGCCAGAGCGAAAAAGGAGGGAGATGGCTCCGAGTGAAATATAATCAGAAAGGAGACGCGAGACAGGGGAAATCAGAGGGTCAAAGTCTGAGAGGCTGAAGAGCCGGGAGGGGTAAGAGAAGACAAGGGGAGGGTGTCAGGGCGGGGGACTCCGTTACCCTCGCAGCTCCCGGGGCTAGGCCCTAGGCCGGGGCGGAGCGCGGGGCCCGGTCGCCTCTCTTCATTCCTCGGCAGTGACCCCGGGGTCTGGCCGGCCCCTCCCCCGACGACGATGGAGGCAGCGGCAGAGACGGCGACCGCGGCTGTTGCTCCGCACAGGGTAGGAGCTGGAGCCTGAGGGAACTGATCTGGACTGGCCTCCCCCAATGGCTTTTTGCCCGCTCCACACTCGGTCGCCACTCCGACTCCGGCAGCTGGTTCAGGATCGGTGGCTTTCGGCCATCCGGCCGGAAACAAGCACCAGTTTCCGGCCGGAGCGGGTTGGTGGTGACACCCAAGCCGCCCCCCCGGGCCTCACCTCCTCCGCCCCGCCCCGCCCCGCCCCGCCCCGCCCTGTAGCAGCCCCGCCTAGAGCGCCGCTTCCCTAGCTGAGACCGGTTTGGTGCTTGCCCTGCGCTTGACCCCGTGTTTTCCTGGTCCTCAATTCTGCAGCCCCTGTCTGGAATATTTTTAACAGGGACTGGAAGGGTTCAGGGTGGGTTCTGGAGATTTCGGGGTAGAGTCAGAGGCTACAATTCTTGGAGAAGAAGTAGAAAGGGTGCGGGGAAGCTCTAGAAAGGTGAGAGGACGGATGGAAATGCTTTAGAATGAGAAAACTGAAATTCTGGTTCTTCTACGTAGTCATTCTGGACACACCAGAGGAAAATTAACAATGCTTCTTCCAGACCAGTCTCCACCCAGTTGTGTACTTCCCTTGTTCCTAAACTCTTGAAGTAAACATTGTTCTTATTAAGTGCCCTCGGATCAGTATAGGGTTTCTGAGGAGTGGCTGGTGGGTTTGAACTGCTGATCTTAAGGTTGCGATCCAATGTTTTATCCTACAGCGCCACACCAGGACTCTGAAGTAAACGTTGTTGTTGTTGTTGTTAAGTGCCATTAAGTCGATTCCAACCCATAGTGACCCTGTATAGGTTTTCCAAGGAGCAGCTGGAAACCACCGACCTTTCAGTTCAAATGACTTTGGAGTCTGACGCATTAGCCCACAGCGCCACACCAGGACTCCATCTAAAGTAAACGTGGTGGTGGTTATGTGCTATGTAGTCGGTTCTGATTCAAGCGACCCTGTACAGGGTTTCCGAGGCTGTAAATCTTTACAGGAGCAGAAAGCCTCATCTTTCTGCCGCGGAACAGCTGGTAGTTTCGCACTGCTGACCTTGCGGTTCGTAACCACTACGCTACTGGAGCACCTTCTCTAAAAACGCTTAAAAATTATTTACTTGGATAACAGTGATACCATACTGATGCGTTGTTAGCACAATTTTTAAAAAAGTATACCTGTTTTGTTTTTGTAATGTCTTTTGCAATATTTACAGCATAATTAAATTCAACAAGTTTTCGGGATTTTGTTGGAGTTTTTTGAGGCCTATGTGCTCTGTGTATTGTGGGGATACAAATGAACAAATGGTTATAGTTGCATAACATGGGAAAGGTAAATAATGCCGTTGAATTGTATACATGAAAGTGACGAATGTTTATACTTTGTCACAATAAAAATAGAACAAGACTTAATTTCAGGCATCAAGGACCTTACAATTAATAAAATATGTAAAATGATCCTGGTGTGAAGCTGCAGGTTAATGTGCTGGACTGCAAGGTTGCTTTGAACCGAAACGTCAGAAATTCAAGCTCGCCAGCTGTTCCTCAGAAACCCTATACAGGATAGCTTTGAATCAGAACCTACTCAATGGCACATGACAACAACAACAACAACAATAATATCACATAAGGCAGAACTCACTTGTATATTATGTGAATTGGATAAGCACTGGACTATGAATCACAGACCAACGGTACAGAATGATGAGACTCTAGCAAAGATTTTCTGCTACAGCAAAGATTTTTAGTGTCAGAAACCCTATACAGGTTGACTGAGTCGAACCCACTGGGTAGCACTTAACAACAATAGCATGAATATGAAAGCATAGATAAGTCATGTCTGGTACGTAGTAGTAAACCTTTCATATTTTCTGAGTTAATGAATATTAGGAGAATGTGGAGGTTTCAAGTAGGACTATTTAATAAATACCTCTTTCTGATAAACACAAACTCAGCCAACCTACAGTCTGACCAACAAAAATTTTTATTTTAATTCAGATTACTAACATTGTAACACCTGCTCTGCATATTCAAAATAATGTTTCTTGCCTGAATTGTGTACAGTCCCTTCACAAGTTCCTGAAGTCTTCTATTTCTAAAGGAGAGGAGTTGAATACATAAATATTAGAATTATACAGCTCAGTGTAGGAAATTGGCACCTGAAACAAATAAATCCCTCTTGTTGTTAGGTGCTGTCCTGTCTGTTCTGACTCACAGCAACCCTATAGACAACAGAATGAAGCATTGTCCGGTCCTGTGTCATCCTCAAAATTCTTGTCATGTTTGAGCCCATTGCTACAACCACTGTGTCAGTCTATCTCATTGAGGTTCGTTCCTCTTATTCACTGTCTACTTTACGAAGCATGATGGGCTTCTCTAGGGACCGGTCATTCCTAATTAATATGACTAAGTCTCACCATCTAAAGAGCCTTCTGACTGCTTCTTCCAAGACAGATACATAACATCCTAGACAAAATGTTCATAGAAAAAGGGAATTAAAAGATAATGGACTTTTTCCACAAATATTTTTAAGCCCCCTTGTATATCATTGTTGTTGTGTGCTATTGAGTTGGTTCCCACTCATAGCAACCCTGTATAGGGTTTCCCTGGAGCGGTTGGTGGGTTTGAACCACCAACCTTGAAGCTCAAACTGACCTTGTGGTCCAGTGCTTACACTACAGTGCCACACCAGGACTCCTTGTATATTTTGCTGTTGCTGTTAAGTGCCTTCGAGTTGGTTCTGACTCACAGCAACCCTGTATAGGAGTTCTAGGACCAGCTGGTGGGTTTGAACAGTCAACCTTGTGGTTTGCAATCTAGTGCTGATCCTACAGTACCATACCAGGAGTCTTAGGGATAATTGAGGATTTAGAGGTGGGCCTGGGACCAACCAAAGTCAAGTAGGTCAGACTGTTTTATCTGGGTCATGCCCAGGACTACAGTACAATGAGCAAAGTCATTTGTCCTGGACACTAAGTATGCAAGGACAACATTTTTACCTACTATTTAAGTGGCAAATTTGAGAAGTGTAGGAATTATATTTGGTCACCTAAATGGATTCTAACTGAATTCTACTGATCACACCCAACTATTGCTAGATAAATCAGAGGTGGGAGAACAAATCCACAGATAAAGAACCTCAAAAATCTGAACACTGTTTTGTTTCACCAAGACCCTCGCAGGTTATGTCCATTTGTTAACTATGATTTTCTAGTCTTAAACTCTACTACTACAGACTCATTAAGACCAGGTATGGAGTCCAGCAGCATTCTCCACCCTCATCAGTATAAGGCAGACCTTTTCTTTTGACATTGACCACAAAAAATTTCCAAATTTGAAAGTTGGGCCAAGTTGTTGGTAAAACATTTAAGTGGCCACACTTTACAGACTTGCCTGGAAATGTAGGAGCCAGGAGGGGATGGGGTTGCAGTTGCTTAGTGACTGTTCCTTGCTCTGACCACCGATCACTCATTGTTATTTGTGCAATTGCTCAATGGGCTGCTTGTCTTTGGTCAGCCCAAGCTGTGTGGGTAGCAGTGTGGTCAGCTGGGCGGGGAGCCAGGCCACCTGGGTTCTGATCCCAGCCCAGCCAGCCCCCAATCTATTTAATGACTCCCTTCCTTTCCTATATATCGGTTTTCTGCCTACAAACTGGGAATCTCTTCTCTAGTAATGTGCAGCCACTCAGAGTGTCACTATATTGGATGTTTAGAAACAGCAGTCTAAAGTAGACAACAGGAGTCAGAATATTGTTGTAGTTAAGTGTCATGCAGTTGGTTTCATCTCATAGAGACCCTGTATAGGGTCTCCAAGGCTTTCAGTCTTTTTGCAGAAAGCCTTATCTTTCTCTCAAAGAGCAGTTGGTAGGCTCAAACCACCGACCTTGTGGTTTGTAGTCCAGTGATTATCCTATGAAGCTACTACACTCCCAGTTAGAACATAACTGATTATTATTATTTTGTTGTTG